TCTCAAGGAGGCAGGGTTTCTGCAGCTGCCGGAAAGTTCCCCTGGCTGGGAGCTCTTCCCAACACGTGGAGCCACCGTTTCCAGGCGAAAACAGGGTGTTTTTCTACAAACCGACCCTTTGCTTTGGCTGAAGGAAAAAAAAGTGATCAGAGAAGAATTTGGGAGGCCTGAGAATTTTATGTAAGCCTGTGTGTGTGTGCAGACTTCAACCCGTCACCTAGAGCCCGGCCGGTGTGGCTCAGCCTCTACTCATCCAGGCAGTGAAACTGAGGACCTAGCAAAGTCCATCTCTGTGAAGGCAGGCGACCTGGATGTGACACAGGAATACACCGTTTCCAGGCAGGGGACAGCTTTTAGATCATCTCGGGCCTGGCCTGCGTGGCTCAGTGGTTGAGCATCCACCTAGCAACCGGGAGGTTACCAGTTCGATTCCCGGTCAGGGCACATGACTGGGTTGTGAGCTCGGTCCCCAGTAGGGGGCGTGCAGGGGACAGCCCATCGATGATGCTCTCTCATCACTGATATTTCTCTCTCTCTCTTCCTCTCTGAAATCAATAAAAACATATTTTTTAAAAAAAGCCTGGTTAGATCCGCATCACTGACCTTGCTTCGGCCCCCTCCCACACCGGTGAGCGGGCCCGGCTCCCCTGTGACTGTGCAGACCCCTCACTGGCTGGTGGAGCGTGTCCTTTCTCGCAGGGAGGCTCCGTGGAGGCCTGCTCCGTGCTCGGGGTTGGGAATCGCGCCACCGCCAAGGACTGCACTCACGCCTTCCTTGTTTTCTAGAAAAGAAGAAGCCGGGGAAGGGCGGGCCGTCGCTGGACTGGCGGGAGCGGAGGAGCGCCATCCGGCTCACCAACGAGCACACAGTGGAGACCCTGGTAGTGGCCGATGCCGACATGGTGCAGTACCACGGGGCCGAGGCCGCGCAGAGGTTCATCCTCACCGTCATGAACATGGTGAGTCCTGGCGGGTTCCCCACCCAGGCAGCCAGCATCCTTATCTCCTCCTCTGTTAGGGGAAGGCAGGCCCACACAGCCTGTGATCCCTGGGGGGCTGGCGGGTGTGCCTATGACGGATGGCGCTGTTCGACCGCCTGGGTCTGCATGGTGAGTGGGCCCTGCCCGCCACTCCTTTTGGAAGCCATCCAAGACCCTTGCTGTGCGGGGGACCCATCCCCTGGGATTAAGAACCCAGTGAGCCCTGTCCCTGCTCTCCCTGCTCTGAGGAGTCCAGTCTGGTAGGAGGAATCGAGATCAAAATTTAATGCAAAACAGATCCTGCCCAGCTGGTGTGGCTCCGTGGTTGAGCGTCAACCTATGAGCCAGGAGGTCACGGTTCGATTCCCTGTCAGGGCACATGACCAGGTTGCGGGCTCCATCCCCAGTAGGGGGCGTGCAGGAGGCAGCTGATCCATGATTCTTTCTCGTCATTGATGTTTCTCTCTCTCTCCCTCTCCCTCTCTGAAATCAGTACAAATATGTTAAACAACAGCAACAACTACAAAAACAACAACAAAAACAGATCCTGCCGTGCGTAGCGAAGCCTGGCGGGAAGCTGGGGTCCCCCGATGCGTGGAGTCTCCCTGTCTGTGTTGCCTTTTGTGACTGGACCCTGGGGTCGCTCCCACCTTCAGGCGGTTGAGGAGGAGGCTGCGGTGAACGTGGGCGTGCAGATAACCCACCTGAGCCCCTGCCGCGGTTTCCTTTTAGGGATTTGCCCAGCGGTGGGATTGCTTTTGCTAACTCCCCGTGCTGCGTGGCCCTGGTTTCTGAGAAGGGGTTCTGTCTTTCCTGTGCCGAAACCCGGTCGCCCTGGCGGCTGGGTAATGACCGGTTGCGGCCTCTAGTCCCCCCAGAGGAAGCCCAGACAGCGGGCTGGGGGCCTGGCCCCACTCCCGACCCCTCCATCTGCGGATAATTTCATCTCATTTATTTCTTTTTAAATTGTCTGGGTCACGAATGCAAGGAATAAACCTTCATTACAACAACTGAGGTAAGCATAAGACAAAGCTATTTTTATGTTTCTTTTATAATTTCTCTTTTTTAAAAAAAAAATATACTTATTGATTTCAGAGAGGAAGGGACAGGGAGAGAAATAGAAACATCAATGATCGGCTGCCTCCTGCAGGTCCCCGACTGGGGATCGAGCCTGCAACCCCGGGCCTATGCCCCGACCGGGAATTGAACCCTGACCTCCTGGTTCCTAGGTCGATGCTCAACCACCGAGCCACGCTGCCGGGCCTGCTTTGTGTTTTAAAAGATCCCTCTGTCTGGCTCTTATCCAGGGACGTGGAGGCCTGCTCCGAGCTCCGTGTCCCCAACAAACCCCTCACCTGCCCAGGTCCACGCAGAGGGAGAAGCCTCTTGCCAGCCATCCTGGGGGTCCCCCAGCGGGAAGCGCAGAGAGAGGGGGTGCTGTGTCCCTGGCTTTCGGCTTCCCATGGTTTTCCAAATGTTGCATAGTGTCTTTTTCCACACGTAACTTGCTTTTCCTGCGGTTGGGGGCGGGGCGGGGTGACACAGGAGCAGGGATACTCTGAAGAACAAATCGTAGCCGGGGCCGGAGAGCCGGCAGCAGCAGGCCTGGGTCTGGGCAGCCCCGTTGGAAAATGGGCCCCTGGACAGAGCGTCAGTTGTTCTCGGCTTCCTTAACAACCACCGGCAGAGTGAGACGCCGACGCGTTCCAGGCAGGTTCCGCGGAGGGAAAATGACATCAATTTTACTCAGTGACCAGGCGGAACGGATAAGTGGCCTCTCTCTGGCGACCAGAGAGGTCAGCGCGGTGTGTGAGCACCCCTGGTCCTCATACCCTGCGGCCTCCCGGGGGGTGGGGGGAGTGCTTGTTAAATGCAGCCGGCGGGGCCCATCCCAGGGTCTCAGGCCATAGGCCTGGCCCGGGCTCCAAGTCCCCAGGTGATGTTGGGGCTGCTGCTCCAGGGACCCCACGAGAGGCACTGTGGGAGGAAACACCCCCTCCTGTGTGGGGTCCGAATGGCGCCCTAATTGCAGAGGGTCACTCTCAGTCCCCAGGTGCCCCTGGGGAGGCCCCGATTCACACGGGTCGGGGGTGCAGTTCTGAAAACCCCTCTTGGGGCCGGCTGGTGTGGCTCAGTGCTTGAGCGTCAACCTATGAACCAGGAGGTCACGGTTCGATTCCCGGTCGGGGCACATGCCCGGGTTACAGGCTCAACCCCCATTGGGGGGTGTGCAGGAGGCAGCTGATCCATGATTCTCTCTCATCATTGATATTTCTCTCTCTCTCTCTCTCTCTCTCTCTCTCTCTCTCTCTCTGCCTCTCCCTTTCTCTCTGAAATCAATAAAAAACGTATGTTTAAAAATAAGGTCTGTAGGCAGACATTTCCCCTCGGTGTGCCCCATCCAGGAGAGCAGGTGTGGGAGCCCGACCACAGCTAATGTGCCTGCCCCCTGGCGGGAGCTGCCCACGTTCCCACAGGCCCAGCAGCGTCCAGGGCCGACGCACAGGCCCGTCCTGGCAGCCGGTCCGCCAGACGGAAATCGGACAACAGCCACCACACACAAAGCAGCGGGCCGCGGAGACATGGAACCGAGTCCCGGCTGTTTTTTCCCATGGAAATTCCTGCTCAGGACAAGTCTGGAGGCAGCGGCCATGCGATGTTTGGAGAGACACCTGGCCGGGCAGGGAACAGCGCGCCCGTCGTCTGGAAATTCTGTCTTGGGCGTCCAGCGCTGGCTGCGCCCTGGCGAGTGGTCAGAGCCCGGCTGCAGCTGCCACATTGCCTTGGCAGCCTGGGGGGACCAGGCTGCAGCTGTCACATTGCCTTGGCAGCCTGGGGGGCCCAGCTGGGCGGGCCACCGCCGCTGTCCTGCTGGGCGCTGTGGGGACACGGCCAGGGAGGGGCAGACGGGGTCCAGAGAAGAGGCAGGTGACAGGGGCCCCTGGGGAGGAGCTGTTCACTGGCCTAGAGGGTTTTTGTTTTTTTAAAAAAATATTTTTTTCTTGATTTCAGAGAGGAAGGGAGAGGGAAAGAGAGAGAGAGAAACATCAATGATGAGAGAGAATCATGGATGGGCTGCCTCCTGCACGCCCCCTACTGGGGGTCAAGCCTGAAACCCGGGCCTGTGCCCTGACCAGGAATCAACCATGACCTCCTGGTTCCTGGGTCGAAGGTCAATCACTGAGCAACACCAGCTGGACTAACCATTAACTTTTAATTAACATATTTTTTAATAGAACTTACACTTTATGATGTATAAATACATGAATTTATAGTTTATTTGTTTATATTTTATGTTTTAGATTTATAGAATAATTGAACGCATAGAGCAGTGGTTCTCAACTTTCTGGCCCTTTAAATACAGTTCCTCATGTTGTGACCCAACCGTAACATTATTTTCGTGGCTACTTCATCACTGTCATGTTGCTACTGTGATGAATCGTCATGTAAATATCTGATATGCAGGATGGCCTTAGGTGACCCCTGTGAAAGGGTCATTCGACCGCCAAAGGGGTCGCGACCCACAGGTTGAGAACCGCTGGCATAGAGGGTTCCCATAACGTTTCACCGGTTACTCTAGCATCTTACATTAGTACGTTGGTTATAACTAAAGGATCAATATTGGCCCATTATTCACTAGGTCCATCGTTGGCTCCGATTTCCGTAGTTTTTACCTAATAGCTCTTCTCTTTTCCAGGATCCCATCCGGGATACCATGATATATTTTTTTTAAATGCTTAGATTGACCCCTTTCTTTCCTTTTCTCTCTCGATAGGTTTACAATATGTTCCAGCACCAGACCCTGGGGATTAAGGTGAACATCCAGGTCACCAAGCTCGTGCTGCTGCGACAGCGCCCTGTGAGTCCCTGAGCGCCGCACACAGGGAATGTCCTGGCTCTGGCAGCTCCGTAGGAGCCCAGGGGGTTGTCTGGCTTATCCGGGCTCCCAGGCTCTGCAGGTGGCATCAGTGTGCCCGGGGCCAGGGACCCAGATGTCCGGGGAGAGGAGGACACATGCCGTTCCTGGAAGCTGGGGGTGCAGCCGTCCGCTTAGAATCTCCAGGGCACCCTGAGCAGGGGCCTGAGCGCGCCCCCCTCTGCCCGGCACGTCTCAGCAGAGCAGGCCGTGGTGGCGGCGAGGTCTCTGGCACCACGGCCGCCCTCCTGTCGCTCTCCCTGGGCTTCAGCACGTATTGGGAGTCACCGTGGCATCGCTCTCTGGCGTTTTGGTCGAGTGCTTCCCTGGGACACTCCCACGGCCAGGCAGGGAGGGTGACGGGGAGGGCCGATGCTTGGTGGGCGCATGCTGTTCAGTTTACCGAAAAGAGCACTTGCCCTTTTTTTTCTTTAACATATTTTTATTGATCTCAGAGATCAATGTCTTTTATTGGTTTTGAGAGAAAGAGGAAGGGAGAGGGATAGGGAGAGAGAAACATCGGTGAGAAAGGAACATCGCCGATCAGCTGCCTCCTGCACGCCCCTACTGTGGATCGAGCCCGCAACCTGGGCGTGTGCCCCGACCAGGACTTGAACCGGCAACCTCTTGGTTCCTGGGGTGATTGATGCTCTACCGCTGAGCCACACCAGCCGGACAAAGAACACTTTTCTTTAATAACATAGTCTGGCCCTGGCCGGTTGGGCTTGGTGGATAGGGCGTCAGCCTGCAGACTGAAGGGCCCTGGGTTCGATTTCGGTCAAGAGCACGTACCTCGGTGGCAGGCCCGATCCCCGGCCCTGGTTGGGGCACGTGTGGGAGGCAACCAATCGATGTGTCTCTCTCACATCGACGTTTCTCTCTCTGTCTCTCCCCCTCCCTTCCACTCTCTCTAAAAATTCTCTCAATGCCCCCTTGCCCCCCAATTTCTTTCAGGCCAAACTGTCCATTGGGCATCACGGAGAGCGGTCCCTGGAGAGCTTCTGCCACTGGCAGAACGAGGAGTACGGAGGCGCCCGGTACCTTGGCAACAACCAGGTGCCCGGAGGCAAGGACGACACGCCCCCCGTGGATGCCGCCGTGTTCGTGACCAGGTAACGTGGGCGGCCTGCACCCCCAAACGTGCTTGGGGAGAGCCGTTTCCTGTGGGAGAGGGAAGAAGGCCATTGGCTTGGAATTCAGGCTTGGCCATCGGACCGTGGGCCACCTGTGTGAGCCTCAGTTTCCTCATCCGGGCAGTGGGCATCACAGCAAAAATGTGGAAGCGACCCCCGTGTCCATGAGTGGGTGAGTGGATACACAGGAGGTGTCTCTCTCACATCGATGTTTCTCTCTGTCTTCCACTCTCTCCCCAAAAAATCAATAGAAAAATATCCTCAGGTGAGGATGAAAAAAAATAAAATAAAAGTAATTCTATATAATAAAAGGCTAATATGCAAATTGGCTCCTTGACCGGGAGTTCGACCGGGAGTTGGACCAGGGGGCGGGGCCAGCCAATCAGCCGCACGCAGCCCCTCCTCCCGAGCCTCAGTTTCCTCACCTGGGCAGTGGGCATCACAGCAAAAATGTGGACGTGACCCCGTGTCCAAGGCCGGGTGAGTGGATACACAGAAGGTGTCTCTCTCATATCGATGTTTCTCTCTTTCTCTCCCCCTCCCGTCCACTCTCTCCAAAAATCAATGGAAAATATCCTTGGGTTGAAGAGTAACAAAACAAGAAAAAAAAAATGGTACAGATGCTGAATTTCGTGTTCGATGTGTTCAACCACAATTAAACCTGCTTAAGAATGTCCTTTCCACCTGAGCACATGCTGGGGTGCTGATGGCATGCGGGGGGTTCTGAGTGGGGGTGCTGGGCAGCGGGGAGACTGGAGGTCAGAAAAGCAAGATTTCTTTTTCTTTTTTGTAATCCTTACCTGAGGATATTTTTCCATTGATTTTTAGAGACTGTGGAAGGGCACAGGGGGCGTTGGGGGCAGAGAGAGAGAAACATCGATGTGAGAGAAACACATATATTAGTTGCCTCCTGCGCATGCCCCAACCAGGGCCAGGGATCCAGCCTGCAAACCAGGTATATGCCTTTGACCAGAATTGAACCTGGGACCCTTCAGTCCTTGAGGCGATGCTCTATCCAAACCAGCTAGGGCAGATCTCTACAAATTTAAGAGATTTGTGTTGTTTAAGCCAATAAGTGTTTGATAGGGACTAATGCAGGCTATAGTTTATGTTTCAGTGAATTTTTTCCATAAGGAAATATCACCATTGCAAAGGTCCTAGAAAACAGAAGGGAACCCCCCAAACAAAGCAAGTTTTTAAAAAGAAAAAGAAAAATCTCATTTAT